ACATTTAAAACTGAGCTTCAGTTTTGAATGAGAAGTACGACATTTGGTCAGCTTCAGTGGTTGTGAGTGTTACTAATAGTAGATCTGCATACTGTGCTGTACATACACACTTCATCCTTTAAAATTGAGATGGTCCTCCTGGCCACAGCCACTAGTTACAATGCTGATTTACAGCACAGGGTAGAACAGGGCTGACATGTAGATGACAGGGAAAGGCTTTTTAGGGCCATAATGCCTGTTTGTCTGCCTCCCACGTGTAGTCACATGCTTCTGCAGACCCAGAGAGCTGCCTTCCCTCTCCCCCTGCCTGTCAGCCTGCCTGTTTGGCTAAACCATCCCTTACCCTCACATGGTCCAGAGGCAGTGGCCTGAAACTTCTATACTGATGTGTTCAACAGCTTAACATAACTGCTGTTTAATCATAATAACCCTGTCAGGATTAGAGGCTGTTGATTAATAACTACACTAAAGCATAGTTGTTTTAATAGCTCTAATACTGTGATAAAGGGAAAAAGAGAAGGCAAAGAGACTGTATTTCAGTGTTTTTTATACATATATGAAAGATGTACATGTTCTTTTGCATGTACTGATAAATTAAGCAGATTGAACGTATTGTACATGGTCAAAACTGTATAATGTCAAGCTGTGGTAAGTCACCTTTAATATGACAGTTCTCTCTATATTATATGCTGTGTTCTATATTAACTGCATCCTTTTTAACATTGGTCCTGCATATATTTAACATCTTATTGTATATCATTAGTATGTTAAATATGATTATCTTGCAGTGTTCTTGTGACTTGGGGCTAAGAAGCACACCATATGATTGCAGCCTCCCTGGTCTGAGTCCAGCCAAGAAACTACATTTCCTCTCATCTCTCTTCTATCTGCAATCAAATAAGGGCAAAATACTTTACTAGATAAAGATAGCTGCACCATCCTAATTTTTCTTTAGTGATTAAAGTTTTATCTGATTTTTATCTGACAAATATGCCAGTCAGTACAGTACCGTTTAGAGGTAATGAATTATTTCCATATTATGGTAGTTTACACTTCTACTCAACAACAAATATTGTACTTTTTATTGCACTACATTTATCTGACAGATATAATGACTAGTTATCTTGCTGGGGTTTTTTTTATACACAAACTGTGTGATGTCCTTATAAAATGCATGGCTGTAAAAGCACATAGTGATATAAACAGCTCCATCACAGTCAGCTACAACATTAAAATACAGATTGGACATTAATACATCCACAGTAACACTCAAAAATTAACAGGGACATTTTTCTGCTTTTTGAGTACTTTTACTTTTGTTACTTTAAAGTGGTGATAAAAAGGTTCTGTAGAGCTGAGAGGAACTGATGGTTCTCTGTGAGTCCATCAGTGCCAGTAACAGTTTTCACTTTCAAGTTGATCCATTATCAATATAAAAGAGGCTCATGCGGCTGTCCCCAGACTTAGCATCATAGTGCTGATGCACATAGAATGAAATTAAGAGGTTATTGTTAACATGTGGTCATGACAGTTATTCCCTCTCTCTGTGTCTCAAAGGCTTCATGTGTTTCCAGTGTTTGAGTGGCTTAACCTGTCTCTCTGTTCACCCAAACCGCTGATGTCATCTGATTTCATGCAGGGACACTGGGCAGCTCCTTCCACCCCTAAAGGATCACAGCAGCAAGACATTAGGCCTCCGGGCTGCTTATGAAAAATTCATGCCAGCAAGCTTCAACTATTGACCCATGGTCTGTCGCTGTGCTGTCCAGAGGATGGGCAGGTCAACAGTTCTGAAATATTCAGAGGGATCTGACTGTATCATTCAAATTCTATCATGTGTCCTCAAAACAGCAGAGCAGCTGCTCTTCTGACAAAGTCTGGCACAATAACCATTACAGTAAAACAGCTACTGAGACATAGGCTACATTCACATTACCTGCTAAAGTGGCCCAGGTCCAATTTCTTCCCTCCCAGTCACTTAGATCTGATCTTTCCACTGATATGTGAACAAAACAAATCAGATTTTCTCAAATCAGATCTGGGCTACTTCCATATGTGGTTCTAGATCAGATTCATATCTGATATTTGACTGTGCAGCCACTGTCAGAACGGTCAGTTTGGAATGAATGTGGTTTTTAACATCTCACTCCTCTGGGCAGGCACATATCACCTGTCGTCATCCATCACTGTCAGCCCCTCACAGACCAGTAAAATAAACACAGATGAGAGCAACAACAATGACAGAGGTCAGTGGAGAGACGGGGACATTCCTCTTTTATTGAACATTAATGGAGAAGCTTCTGATCACAGCAGACTAAAAGGTACATATTGGAACTGAGCAGTTTTTGAGGGAATTGCACGATCTGGCTGTTGCACGAATGATGCCAATGTCATTCTTATTCAGATGTGGCTCATGTTTCAGTTAAATCTGCACATTCTTGACTGCTTAAACATGGAATCGGATAGACGCCATTTACTAACATGAATGTGAGCTACCAGTACAAAAAGGTTGGATCTGACAAAGAAGTCAGAATTGAACATAATAGGAACATATCCCTAGTTTCCTGGCATGCAACTATACATGCACCTTGTTGGGCAAACAGGGTTGAGACTTAGAGAGGAAGTGTTCTCAGTATTTATCTCAGTATATATAAGTTTTTAAAAATAAATTAAAAAGCTTGGTTTAAAATAACTTTACTACATCGTGATCCTTTATCAGAGGTTTGTTTTGATCAGAGATGGCTTTCTTCATGCTGTAGCTTGATCTTGTCTGTGAGCCAGGTACGTCAGAGCCCTGCTGAATTGTTAGTGCTGGCGTAGGCCCTCGCTGACTGTTGCTGTCAAAATGGTTGGTCAGCTATCTGCTGAGCCAGAGAGCTCACTGCACATGATCCCACTCATCTACAGTACACTTAGAGGGAGGAGAGTGAAGACAGTGCACTCTCTGAAACTCCAGAATGCAGGCAACATATGATTCTCACCAGTGTGGTGATAAAGGCTGAGGCCCAAAGTTCACTTTTGAATTTGGAAAAAGCAGTTGAAAAAGAAAAAACAACAAGGTCCATTTAGTAGTACCCCTGGAGCTTTCCCTTATATCATGTGATCTTCATAAGCAGATGGATTTTGGGCAGTTCATCCAGTCATATCCACTGAGTGTTATGGTTTAGCTCCGCTTTCGGAGGTTGAGTGCTTTTAGTTTGGTTACTTCCTGCCCTGCGTCACCTCACCTGCCCCAGCTTTACCCAGTACGCCAGTGGTGACTCCTGTCCAGTCACACTGGACAGTGATCACACACTGTTTGGCTCCGCTACTCTCCAGCACCTGTTCACTCACCTGTTAGTACTAAGACACTGGCAATGCGTCAAGTCTCCTGTCCAGCATATCCTGCTGTTTGTTCCTGAACTGCCAGCTAAACTGTTAGACTCTAACTCTTGTCCACTCGCCTCCATCACTCCTGTCTGCTACTATCACTCCCCTGCACAGATTCTCCACTATGTGGTTGACGTCACCTGCATCCGCCTTCTTGCAAGCGAGTAGCCCTGAATTACCAGCTAGGCTGGTGCTACCTATGTCCACTTTTACCTTCTTCTCCAACCCCTCGCTCTTTCCCCCCTGCCTAGTCTGTCCCCACTCACCTGGACATTCAGCCACATCTCCTGTCTTCGGCCTGCTAGACTCACCCATGTGTCCTTGTGCTCCAGCCACACTGACCCACCAGTATGCTCCTGGCCCTGCAACACCCCCCTGACTCCCCTGAGTGCTCCCAGCACCATAGTTACATTTTGGTTCATTGTGCCTTATTGTTTGAATAAAGACTTCCTGAGCTCCATTCTAGCCCTGGTCTGCATTTTGGGTCCTAGTCCTGTGTGAGTGTTCCATAACACTGTTAGTAAAGAGAGAAAACTAATCAGAGGCTGAGTGCAGTTAAATGACCATCAGGGTTCATACACATGAACTCACCTCCTTTTTATTATATTATAAATGCACCTTGGGCTGATGATCATTTGTGTCCTTTGTCATCCTGCATCACATGACCTTGTTGGTATGAATGCTGAATTTGTTCTTGCATAAGCTGAACAACACTGAGTGGTGAGTTCATTCAGGACTCTCAGCATTTGTAGCAACACTGTTATTCAAAGCCCCTGGCTCACTCTCCTCTTCCCTTGTTATTCATGTGACTGCTCTGATCGTCCTACTGTACTTCACATACACCCACAAGACCAGTGTACAGTCTCCCCCTGGACATCTTCTCTATGTCACTTTCATCTTCTGCTGTTACAGGCAGCAATGAGTCCAGAGCAGGTGACTCCATCAGTTCAATGGGCAGCATTGTCTTGATTTCTGAGAATGAAAGGGGCACATGCTGGAATTCCACTGATGTAAAGATTGTTTTCAAACGGAGTTTCTGATAACATTTTTTCACTGCAGTTTGTTTAGTCCCTCTGGGGGTGGTGGGAGTTTCTAATTACTTAGGTCATGTTAGTCTGGTTCATTGGCTTTTACTCACAAATGTCAGAATGTTAAAATCCTAAGTAAAAATTCCCATAAACAAGAACAATAAAAATCAAAAAATTGGAATCTGTCTCTGTCAGCCCTGTGATAGACTGGTGACCTGTCCTGGGTGTATCCCTCCTCTCGCCCAATGTCAGCTGGAATTGGCGACCCTCATTAGGAAAGCAGTATAGATAATGGACAGAGAAACTGTGCACTATACTGTGCACTTTTCACTGGTGGATCTGGACTCGGGTTTCGGTGGTGCTGGGGAGGAGGCGTCTAAGCGGCATTGGGAGTTTGGTTGTAAAAAGGGAGGAGAGTGACTAAATGGGAAAGTTTTCTGTTAAGCTGCTTTTACTGGAGAGCAAATTGCCAGCCCCACCCCCCTCCCCTCAGCTCCTCCAGACCCAGACTGCCTTCCTTTGCTGAGGAGCACAGGAGAGGAGAAGAAACACTTTAATTCGTCATCCATCACGACTGTGCCCAAATATAACAACAAAAAGAAAATGTCCCAGGACCTGTAGCACATGCAAGCATCAGCATTACTTTTTTATGCAGTTGGATGTTTAGCATTTAACATCGCTAACTTCATCATTATTGCTCATACTGTCCTTGTCTTTGTCATCCTCATCATTTTCATCTAAAACTACTTCTTTCAAGGTAAGTGCGCTGTCATCTTTCGTTTAAATTACATTTTCATTTAAGTCTTTTAAGTTAGTACCTTACCTCACATCTGCCTTAGTTTCTTTGCATTCTGTGTGGATTTAAATCACTGAGCACTTTGTTTTAAGCCTTAAGTCCTCATATTGTGTTGTACAGTACCACAGTAACTTTGCAAAAAAAAAAAAATCCTTTCATTCCACTAATAAGTAGATTCCTGTCTGGTGAATTAATGTAATACTATTTTATTGTATGTTATATATTTTCAGACATTAGCTGATGCTGAAACTTAAAAGACAAAAAACAAAAACATGAAAATGTGGAAAACACCTTACACATATTATCCTTCTGTTGCAGTATTGTGCATTACGGTTGCAGTCATCAAACACATCTCAGTGTTTGCTTTAATACTGTTACCCCTGCTGAAGGACATTTACTGTATTTTGCCTTTTTAATTTCTGTGGATGAAGGTGAAAATTTTAAGACAGCAGTTTGTCTTTGCAGTCAAACACAGCCCACGGACAGGATGTTCTATAAAAAGGATTATTCTTCTCACTGATAAACCACATTGGAGGAAATAGACAAGAATTTTATGTGAAGCGTAGCAAAAGTACATGACACCAGCCAGCACTGGCGTTATTTTGGATGTTAGAGGAGGTACATGAAAAACTGAGAATTACCTTGGTTTCACTCAGTTACTTCAAAGGATATGTAAATAAGAAACACATCAGTCTCAATAGATTATAACTCAAAGGTTCAATAGATGGTTAAAGCTGCTACGTATAATCAATATTTTTATATTAACAAATGACTATGTGAGAGGATTGTATGGATGTTTTGTTCCGTAAATATTGCTGCAAATGTTTGTACCAGCTCTTGACAAGACTGTAGTCCTACTGCTCAAAGCGGTACTATTGCAGAGCTCAAATGTCACGTGACTTCCTGTTGCCCTTCATTTGAACAGTAATCCCATCCAATTCATGTGGCTTTTGTGCTGACAATGACCACGTCAGCTGTAGCTGACCTGACCCACTGACCTTCACTCCACTGTCAGATAATGCATGTTGACTTCCCTCTGTGTTACTGTTACATGACAAGATTGAATTGACATTACAAAGCATGTCAATAAAAAAAAAAAACATCTGGTAGTTTAGATGTACAATAAACAGTCAGCCTTTAGTCTGGCTGACAAAAACAGTGGGTCTCTGCTGTACAGTAAAGTGCCTTGTCCCTTTTTCCCAGGTAGAGGACAGTCAGTGATTTACAGACAAATGACTTCTACCCCTAAGCCAGGTTTTGATTCCTATACTTGAGTGTTTGATCTTGGTAAGTTAAACTTTGGAGTCCAAATTCCTGAGGCCTGGAGGATGCAGTATGCTCACTGGACTCAACTGGAACACCAGCGTCCTTGCTGACCGACTACTCTGCTCTGAATGAGATATAGCTGCCTGCTAATTATAGTTAGCGTGACTGATGATGTTTCATATGTCCACATATACGCAAGGTCAGAGAAGAACGCACACTGAGAAAGACCCTGTGTGTTTATGACTGTTTGCATGACAACTAAAGTTCGTAAAGCTTTCCAGTGTGGTGTATGTTGTTGTTAATGTGGGTGGAGTCCTTGCAGTTCTGCCTTCCAACATAAGAGCACTATTTCATGACAAATGACCATTTCAGTCATATAGAGGACATATTGAGTGGCTTGCTCATGTTGATGAAACCACAGATATTTATCACCTAACTCTAAAGTTCCAGTGAGCTGTACAGGGCTTTCATGACATATTTGAGCTCATTGTTTTGGCTTCTACAGCTCACAACTTTCTTTTGGTTCATTCTCACTGCTCTCATCAGCATCATTTTCAACTATAGCAGTCAGCTGTTCTGAGACCAAAAGCTCAGAAAAGCTCACTGTACACTAACTAGTCAATAGCCAACTGAACATCTGGCATCTAGCTAGTGGATATAGTAGCATCTAGCAGCTGAAGATCCAGATATTTTCCTCAGGAGTTAGTGGAGACTAAAACAGATCAAATTAAAAGCAAAGCTTAAACATAAATATTGGACTTCACATGATGGCCAGAAACACAACTTAAGTTGAATGCTAATGTTGCCTACATCAGCTGGTTATGTAAATAAGCAAATGTTTGCTGTTTGCATTGTGGTCGTTATACTATGTTAGTATTGTGCTTGTTTCCATTGCTTCCAAGTGGTTTAAAATAAATTACTGCAGTTATAACTCTTGATTTTATTTGTTTTATTATAATATATTACTATATAATACTATTTCCTCTCCTCCAGCTCACCTCTTATCATGTATTTGGAGAACAAAAGCAACCTGGACATTGAGATGTCTCAAACATCAGCCCAAGTCCATCAGGGCAGGAGCAGCCTGAGGACACCAGAGGCAGTTGCAGGGAACTTTGGGCAGCTCCGTCTGCTGCAGGACATCTCAGAGAGAAGAGACACCCAGAAGCTCCAGCAGTCTGCGGTCCTGCCCTCGGGACAGTGTGTCATCCATGCTGAAGGCTTTGTCCCTGTTCGACAAGAGGATGGGTATGACTAACTGTACTGAATACACTCAACACCAACCCAGTGACTAACTGAGTGATCTCATTATTAATGAGATTACCTAATTAAATAAAGGATAGGGTAGGATAAAGACTGTAACCACACTGAAATGCCACACTGACACACACATATGTCTTATTATGTCCATCAAAATGAAATGTTGTAACCTCAAACATGAAAGCTACTATAATCAATATTTTTTATAATCAATAATGAATCAAATTACTATGTGAAATGTAAAAAGGGGCCTCATGTTAGCTAGAGATTGAAAACAGTGGAGCATTTGGCTGCTAAGGAGCTAGACATTTCCACTAGGAGCTGGTGGAAAGCAAAACAAAGCTTAATTTCCTGAAGTTTTCATTTTTCAAAACAATATTTAAGTGCATAAATGGCCTTGCCCTTTGTGTAATATGTCAACTTATTCAAAGATATACTGCTCAAAAAATGAAGGGAACACAACATAAGACATGAATGTCTTATGTTGAATGAAATATTCTTATTAAATACCTTGTTCATTACATAGTTGAATGTCTTATTTTCCCTTGTGTTCCCTTTGTTTTTTTGAGCAGTGTATAATAGCGAAGGTGTGTCCAGGCTAGAAGGGTAGTACATGGGAACTGGAGAGTTGGAAGGGGCAGAACCACTTTTGATCAATTGTGTTTCTCAGTAGTAAAGTTGCAGTAGCACTAGTAAAGTAGTAGTAGCTCATCACTATGAAAACCAACAGATTTAAAATCACAATCACAATTCACAATCTTTTCTACAAAGGTGAAACCGAGGCTTAAACAGCAACAATGATTAAACATTCTTTTTTAAAAGCCTAACCAGGGATGAGAGCTGCAAATGAGCTTAGATGGTCCATATGCACAGCATCACTCACTGAGTGTGACAATGTTTATGTTTGTAGCACATGTCCCTGAGAAACAATGTAAATAAAATGAAATAAAATAAAACAAGCTGTTTGCTAATAAGTTAGCCAACTAATATAATGTTAGTGGTGTATTTACAACTTTTTCTGCTGTGGCCCACCCTGTACTACTTAATGCTTTCTTCAAGTCTTAATATGAACTACACATGTACATTTATTCCAGGGGCTATATGAACATGCATAGAAAACACTGGAATTTTCTTGTAAAGTACAAACATTTCACACACACTTTGTGTTTACCTGTGGGTGTGTATCTCAGTCTCTCAGGGGGCTGCTAATCTCAGGCCTGTTGCTGTGATGTTTTTTGGATTAAACTGGGGATTTTCTTCATGAACTAAGTCAAAGTTGCACATGACTAAGAATGTACTACAGCTGATACTTATGTGGGTCCTACATGACCCTGTTAGCTGGTTTATATGTGATATATCTGCACAATGAAACATGTAAAGCACTACACTTTGACACCCACCGACATACAAATTATGCAGACAATTGACAAGTATAAGACTGCAGGGCATTACACTGACCTCATAAGTAAATAATGATCATTACATTATGTAAATGATAATAACATTATGCAAAGAACCATTTTTAAAAAAAAATGACATAAATGAAGAGGCAAAAAAATCAGAAAAACTAGAGAAAAGAAATAAGAAAAGAAAAAAAGACAAGATTTGGTCAAGAATTGAACAATGAACAACCATAAGGAAATTTTGACTGAAGGTTTCTTGAAAGATCAAAACCTGTTCACCTGCTGTATGAGGGTCCCTGTTTAATAAAAGCTGAAAGGAGCTCTGCTCTAAAACAACTGAACATACAGTAACTGCATCTGATATGCTAACAATATTCTTCTGGCTCTGAGAAAGAATGCTGCAGTGGTGGTATCAGGTTGTGAAACAGATGGACCAGTGTGACAGAGGAGCTTGGGCCAAAATTATTAGACTTAAAGGTTACTTTGAGAGACTAATGGAATTGATGTATAGCTTTGATATATATATTTAATGACAACAAACTTTGCACTAGAGTCATCATACCCACTTTTAAGAGTGACTCAAATGATTATGTGCTATGTGAAATGGATCACTCGTGACTAATTATCTCCCAATTCTACAGTTCATCTTAGAACTAAAGAGCATTTTAGCATCTTTTAGCTCATTGTTTACAGCCCAGAGCCTGCTTTTTTGGTTCACTCTCACCACCTCATTGACAAAATTTCCAGTTGTAGGATGCAGCTGATTTGGGAGAAAACCCACTATAATGATAAAACAAGTTTACAACTAGCTGGAGACAGATATTTGTCTCAGGAACTGGTGGAGAGCACAGCAGAGCTACTTTCTACTTTGAGCTTCAGTTTGTGTTTTGTCTGGGCTCAAATCGCCTATAAGGACTCCTGTGGAGTAGTGCAGCCTCTCAGTCAAGTCACATCTAG